ACTACCTCAACATGCAAATTTTCTTTTATAGTAATTACAATTTACGGTATCTTTAGTATGAGATAATAGTTAATGTAATAAATAAAAACAGACAAATATTTGGTTTACAATAACTATCGATAAATTAGCCAACTTTTACATGGATCACCAGTCATGTAATTGTAGATAAATCGAGTATAAAAGGTAAAACAATACTGATGTATTTAAAACATAGAATCGTTCGGGACTTCACAAGGTTCGGAAATCACTACATCAAAACGAGTATTTTAGGACGCACATGACCTCTTCGTAAATGGTTGTAAAGAGTATTGTAAACATTATGATTATGGTAATCATCATTAGTAAACTTCGTGGGGGCCAAAACTCATGTCTCGTAATTTGGATCACGATAATTTTTTTTGAAGTGCCTTATTTTTTTCAAGATTTACAAGTTGGTAAACTTTGGGATTCGGATCATTGTAACCAATTCATAAATGGTCGTAAAATAAATAAGAGCAAAAAGTTAGTGTGATGAGACGTAAAATACCCAAACCTAGTTTGCAGTATACTACGTAATGTAAAGAGCACTCATTGGCTTTTAAAGTAGAGGCACTTCGCCGTCTTTAACTGAATGAAACAGATATCTAAAATGTGCAATGAAGGATATTTATATCATTCGTAAAACCAATCATATTTTAAAGAGAAAAAGGGGAACGAATTTTAACTATATATCTAAGAGAATGCCATACGGGAGCATGTATCAAAATTAATTACTTAAATAGTAACTTCTCTTTGAAAGTTAATTAAACGATAAAGTGTTATGTCACCAAAAGAATGAACCATCACATGGATTCCAACCCAACTGCCCCGGGTTTCCACGAGCGTTGGCGGGTTCTGGAGTGCGTGCTCTCCCATCTTTAGTCTTTCTTGGCGTCAACTCCAAATCCAACGGAGTCGTTTGGCACCTCAATGACACCAAACTAAAAGTTAGATGACATATTTAACACATTTTATGAACTTTCATCACGTTCATGTAAATAGAGTTGCACGAAAATCCAAATCGAAACCACTTGACATCTAATCAAACTGTAAAATCTTTTAATCGTAGGTAGTGAGTTAGACCCATTTCAAACCAACCTAACCAATGAAAACCGGTTCCCTTCTTCCTCTTTTAATCCTCTTCTAATTTTCTTGTTCTTGATTGGTTTAAGATTCAAAATCGAAGAATTGGTGGGTATTGATTTCTCTTGAATGCTTTTAGGGGATAAATATAAAGGGAAAATGTATCAAAATGTAACGAACTTTGGTTTGTTTCTATTCAGTATAACGATTTTTTTTTAATCAATGTAACAAACTTTATTTAGTTTTTCCTATTTTGTAGATATTTTGACCTACAACCCAATAATCCGGCCATTTGATGATGTAGATGCCACAAATTGATGAAATGGATTGCTCACTTATATATATTGATTAAAAGGCAAAGGATCGTGTGAGAAAAAAAGTTACAGTATGTAAGATGCGTAAGAAAAAATATGAATCATTGATCACTTTTCATCTCATACTCACCCATGAATTGCGTTTTAGAAGGGAATTGATGTGGTGCACTTCATTAATGTTGACATTTAATTAGAATTGATCTAAGAATAGAGATTTCTACTTACGGTTCTCATAGTAACTTCCCTTCTCACCGGAACCCGACCCTTAAAGAAAAAATCAAAGTTTGTTATATTAAATAGGAATTAAACTGCAGTTCGCTATATTACATTTTAATGTTATTTTACCCAAATACAAATGGGTCATCTGATCGACTTGTAAATGTCTAATGTTTATTCTAATTTGATGATAAAGTATCTTGTATCTTTTGTACATCAAGAGCTCTACATATGTTTGAAAAAAATTCTTTTACGTTGCAACGAGTAAGAAAACGTTTATATTTTTCATTACTTTCTAGATTCAATTGTACACTAAGCAATACTACACAAAGTTCATTACTCTTTCTTACCTCTCAACGCATTGTTGCCATTAATTTCTTTTTATTGGGTTTAGATTTTTCAAACCTTGTTAGGTTGTTCAAATGCCTTAAACCGGCCAATCCAATTCATATGTCGACAAAAGATCGTGTGAAAAGAAAAGATATGATGAGAAGTATAAGAAGAGATATAAATCATTGATCACTTTTAATCTCATGTCCACTCATGAATTACATTTTAGAAGGGAATTCTGATGTATCTCAATGCACCTCATTAGTGTTGACATTCAATTAGAATTGATTCAATAATGAAGATTTCTTCTTACGCTTCTCAAATAACTTCCATTCTCACCAGAACTCAACCTTCATATGCATTCTTATGTGCATATGTATAGGTAGATTATCAATTGTTTTATTTGACTACATACCTTCTTGGTTTTGCCTCCTTTTGGCATTGACAACCATTTACCTATGATGTTATCTTAAACTTTCGGACCAGCTTACATTCACTTTAATTAATCGTATGCGATTCTAAAGTTAACAGATAAAGAAAATCTCCAATGACCCTGAGAGAACACAAATTTGGTGACTAACAAAAAAGTTAATCCAAAATCTTACCGGTTCAACCATCAAAAGAGTTTACCAAAAAAACCCGATTCGTGTTCAGAAGATACCCAAACCTAAGTCGTACCAACCATAACAAAATTGATGACCAATGTCACATAAACACAAAGATCGTCCTAATCGACAACAATGCTGTCTAATGCTAGTTGATTCAAGTCCTCTCCGTTCACAAGCATCCGGAGACTGTCTTTTAACTCCAGCACACCTTCTCCCAACACTGCACAAACTGGGAAAATCTTAACACCACCCACCCTTCTTCTTAACTCCTCGTATACTTCCCCAGCCCCGACCTCATCGACTTTATTCGCTACAATTAATGACGGCCTACCTGATAAACCCTCGTGATAAAATTC